CATGTTACTCATTGAAAACTTTTTCTTTTTAAGGAAGTAAAATTTTGCAAACACGATTAACCAAAAAACACCAACTAATCCAGCAGGCCTAATGTTATACTGGTCTAAATCAATTTACCTCTAATGTGTTGCACATTTAATCCATATCTTTGCACACACACATATATGACGTGATTTACAAATATAATAATTAAAAATATTTCCTCTGTTTTCACTTTATTCTATACTCTCATTTCTTTTATATTCTTCCATTTTGGTTTTATCTCCTGATGACTCGGTTGTAGCCTATCTGTTTTCTTTTCACCTACTTTACTTTTACTTCAATCTACTACCATTTCTCTGCTCCCTTATTAATGTTACTCATGTTTTTGCAGGACCTATATAATAAAACTTTCTATTTCTAAATACAAATGTTCCAAACAAGTTAGGTTACAATGCTTACTACTCACAACTTATTAGATATAACAGAATTTGTTCAACATTAGAATATCTTGTGGACAGAACTTTAAACTTACATTTTTCTTTCACAAACAAGGTTTTTTTATTATGCATTTTAAATAAACAATTCATTCAATTCTATTGGAATTCCAACAATTTCTTAATGCTGATTATGTGTTAAGATGTTTTAGAGAGTATCACAACCTTTACAAAACTTTCACTTGTATACATTACATAATTTCCTTTGGAGGTTGTTTAGGGTAGTAATGAAGTACTTTATGTATTGATCATTATTGGTTTTACTTCTCTTTAGCTTAAAATATCATTATATACAGTTAATACTAACTTTACATGTATACTATGAAATTGTGTCATATTAACAAGTGTTGTAACTAAAAGTGCTTGAAGGGGGGGGGGTACGTGTACCCCTGTGCTACTCTCCATTTCAAGCACTGCTTATAAATTTTTTTTCTGATTTTGCAGAAGATTTAACATTATTTATAACTTCCATAGTAACATAGGTAGTTAAAGTGAGAGTAGTCATGATATACACATTTTGTAGTATGTTTAGCATAAACTGTCACTATATCTAGTTAGTACTAAGTATACCACAGTTCCATATGTTCTTATATTAGTTTCTACCAGTTTCTTCAATATTATTATAATACATGTGATAAGTTAAGTTTATGATGACACATGTTGCTATTTAGCCTGTGTCAAGATAGTAGCAGTAACTTGTCTACAATACAACCAAGAGCTAATGTTTACGAGGATACAAAATAACAAATGAGAAATTAAAAACTTAAAATTGTCCATGAAAATATAACAATGATAAAGGTAGTACAAAGTAAATAACATGATAAAAATACCATAAGCTGTGTCTATCACTACCACTCTCACTTTAACTAACCTCTGACACTTAACAAACACAGAGTTGGCTAGAGGAAGTTATAAGTAATGCTAAACCTTCTATAAAATTCAATAATAAGACTTAGAAAGGATATTCAGTATATTAAACAGTCTAACCAGCAGTATTTATAAAAGTAGCAATAAATAAATAATATAGTACACCTTACTAAGGGAACACAGAAACACTAGCTGGAAGCTTGAACAACTGTCATGTAATTAATTTTCTTTGAAACATATAATATCAGTCTAATGTGTCTGATTTGTTCCAATTCTCCCTAACTAGTGAAAACTCATTAAACCACTCCCCAGTGTAACTTTACAGGAGAATGACATGTGACAAGTTAAGTTTATGCAACTTTACAGGAGAGTGACATGTGACAAGTCAAGTTCATGTAACTTTACAGGAGAGTGACACGTGACAAGTTTATGTAATATTACAGTAGAGTGACACATGACAAGTTAAGTTTATGTAACTTTACAGGAGAGTGACACATGACAAGTTTATGTAACTTTACAGGAGAGTTACATGTGACAAGTTAAGGTTACATAACTTTACAGGAGAGTTACATGTGACAAGTTAAGTTTATGTAACTTTACAGGAGAGTGACACATGACAAGTTAAGTTTATGTAACTTTACAGGAGAGTTACATGTGACAAGTTAAGGTTACATAACTTTACAGGAGAGTTACATGTGACAAGTTAAGTTTACGTAAGTTTACAGGAAAGTTACATGTGACAAGTTAAGTTTACGTAACTTTACAGGAGAATGACATGTGGCAAGTTAAGTTTATGTAACTTTACAGGAGAGTAACATATAAAATCAGTATAATGTGTCTGATTTGCTCCAATTCTCCCTAACTAGTGAAAACTCATTAAACCACTCCCCGGTGTAACTTTACAATAGAGTGACATGTGACAAGTTTATGAAACTTTACAGGAGAGTGTCACACTCAAAACATCATCTTTAGAGTCATTATCATCATCCTCACTCAACTTAGAAATAATCTCATCTTGATGTGTATCACCAGGTTCATCTGACTGTACCCTAACAAATGTGTTCTGAAATCAATAGGTTAATAAAAAAAACTATGTAATCACTACAGTAGAAAATTCAGTACATACATATAAAGTCTCTACATTTGACTAACTTGAAAACAGTATTTCAAAGCTGTGAAATTGGAATGAAGTTGTGTCTTCAGTAAGAGGGATATTTTATTAATAAAAAGTTAATGTTATTAAGAAACATTTAAAAATCAAAACTTCTTTATTTATGAATTGCACATTAATTAATATAAAACTATATATCAACCTGGAAATAAGCTAATACACTTTCCTCACATTCCTCATTATAAATATTGTTCCATCAGTAGGGTACATTTACTTATAACAATATTTTCAGTCATAATCCAAAAATATCTCAAAAACTTCTATATTCTGAAGAGAATTAGGTTTGTCCTAAATGTGTATATTAAGTTAACATTTAATTAAGTTAACATTGGAAAACAATCTGTATAATAAAAGTATATTAACAAAAAATAAAAATGTTAAATTAATAACTTAAAAGGAAAGGAAACACAAGATGATTATCAACAAGTTGGCTGTGGGTCAAAAACTTTCCCTGGTAAATAAAACATCTCCAAAATAATTCATGAAATCATTACTACTGGTTAAGATGAGATAGTGTTATATTTAGTTAAGTGTTAGTTATAATTTGAAGTGTATAAATAAGGTTGTTAAAATTACATATCCTTACAATGTCATGGTTATTAGTTTATACAATCACCTATGTCTAATTATTAATTAGTTACCAGTAATTACTAAGTAGTCTGATAGAACTTGAATGAATTAACTAACAGTGTTATCAGTTGAATAGTGAAGGTTTTCTTTTATGTGCACTAGATTTCTAACACTGGTATGTTTCTTAACTATAAAAAATTAAATAAGTACAAACTGTTACTACATTATAACACTAATTATCCAAAACACTGAGCTCATGCTTAGTTCTGTTCAAAACATTCATGATAGACAAGTTACTGAGCTTATTCCAGTTATTATGCTTATGCTTAGTTATTGTTACGTCTCCGTTCGTTCGTTAATTTTCCGAAAATTTGTTCCGACGAAACTTTAGCGACACAAGTCCTTTCTTAAATAAAACTGGTTTATTCTTTCCAATTACAACTTTACGATACACTTAATTTCAACAGTTGCTCTATAACAATATAACTCACGTGGCCAACAATATTCTGTCCGCATACATTCAATTACTCATTACCCCGTCACGTTGTGACCATCTTATATATACCAGGCTACCCCCAATCTAGTGGTCTCCAGACAATTCATGAAGGAACAGGATATTTCTAGAAGGAGGTGGAGTGATACTTGTCACGTGACCTCACTGACGCAACATTATGTTCAAAACATCCATGAAAGACAAACAGTTACTGAGCTTATTCCAAGCATTTAAGATGGATAAACAAGTGGTAGATTATAATCCTAATTATATAAAACATTGATCCTGTGCTTTGTTGTATTTTGATCTAGAGAAGGTACTCATTGTAAACTCAGAACTATAGTAATTATTATTATGTAGAGGTTCATGTAATTAGTCTTTTCCAACAAGTGACAGTGAAGAGAAACTACATATCAACTGTTTTACCATTAGATTCACAGTATAAAAGTTTATTCTGGAACAACACATACTAATGAGTTGGTTTAATAGTTTCTGGTGTAGCCCAATCTTGACATTATTCATGTTTATTCTGACATGTGGGATTGCAGCTCATCCCTAGCAGACAACCTGTATTATTGGGTCCTAGTAAATCCACATATACTTAATAGAGTGATGATTGGTCAGTTTATAGCACAGTGTGATGCACTGCAGACAACCTGTATTATTGGGTCTTAGTAAATCCACATGTACTTAATAGAGAGGTGATTAGCCAGTTCATAGCACAGTGTGATGCCTTGCTCCTCTCTTTCAGTCCTTAAGGTGTCTATACAGGATAATTGTTGTGTGGGAGTTTTTATTTTTGACTAGAAAAAAGTAAAGGACAAAGAAATTATTTTGTATAGAGAAACCTACATATTAAATGTGGTGTGTTTACAGAAACTTATGTAATAAACGTGGTGTGTCTACAGAAATTTATGTAGTAAATGTAGCGTGTTCACAGAAACCTCTGTAATAAATGTAGTGTTTACAGAAACCTATATAACAATATAGGTAACAATGGTTACATACTTAAGAGTTATAAGAGATGTATATTATGTGTGTGTAACAAATGATTTGTGTGTATCATAATTTACATACTAAACTTAGTGTACTAATGTATACAGCCTTATATTATTACTTTTTTCTTTATCTTCTCATGGTATTTTAGTTTTTGTCAAGATATTACTAGGTTCAAAATATTGGTAAATTTCACAATTTCATGTGCTTTTAAAACTCAAAGAAGCATTTGAAATTAGTAAAATAAATGTGTGTAGAAAAACCAAAATAAGAAGGTGTGTGTGGTCTTGTTTGTCTTCTAATATTATCTATATATCAATGAAATCATATTAGTTATATGTTTGTCTTTTTGATTTTGATTTTAGTATGTATATTTAATTGTGTGTATGATATTATATATAATTTATTTTTATTTTAGATACAAAGATGTATGAAAAAATCTTCAGTGGAGATCACCTGAAAGAACATCAAGGTATAAGTACTGGTGACAAAAGTATAAGTGAAAGTATCCCAAGAAGACACAAGAAGATACACACTGTTGAGAAACCTTATAGATGTACAGCATGTGGTAGAGGATTTGCACGTAAAGGTAACTTAAAAAGTCATGAGAAGCCGTACAGTTGTGCAGATTGTGGAAAAGGATTTTTGAGTAAAAATGGTCTAAACATTCACGAGAAGGTACACACTTGGGAAAAACCATACAGTTGTGCAGTTTGTGGCAATGGATTTTTGAGTAAAAAAGGTCTAAAAATTCCTGAGAAGATACATACTGGTGATAAACCATACAGTTGTGTTGAGTGTGGAAAACAACTTCGAACTAAAAGTACACTTGAAATACATAAGAAGATGCACATTGGGGAGAAACCATATAGTTGTTTAGTGTGTGGTAAACAATTTGTAAGTAAAAGTAACTTAAATGCTCATGAGAAGATACATACTGGCAAGAAGCCGTACAGTTGTGCACTATGTGGTAAACAGTTTATAAGTAAAAGTTATGTAAAGCAACATGAGCAGGTACATACTGGTGAGAAATCTTACAGTTGTGCACTATGTGGTAAAGAATTTGTAAGTAAACGTAATTTAAAGGCTCATGAGCAGATACACACTGGGGAGAAACCATACAGTTGTGTTGTATGTGGAGTACAACTACGAACAAAAAGTAAACTTGACCTGCATGAGAAGATCCACACTGGGGTGAAACCATATAGGTGTTTAGTATGTGGCAAAGGATTTTTAAGTTACAATGGCCTAAAAATTCATG